CTCGGACATATCGACACAAGTGATTTATTGTTAATCTAAAAACTTATTTAGTTAAGTCTATTGTTTTAGTTGAACAAACTTTGGGGCTTGTTTGGTTAAAAAATTTAGATTATTTCACTTTGAATCAATTAATTTAGGGTAAATTACAAATACACCCCCTGAGATTTGTTTAAAATATAAATTGCCTCTTGTAGTTTGGAAATTCTCAAATACCTCATTATCAAAAAAAAAATTATTTAACAGAATTAACTGAAAAATTAAAATTTTTAACTATTCTCCTATACAATAATAAAATTATTTGAATTATTAATTGAAATAAAATTTTAGGGAGCTTTTTTGATAAATCATTTTTCTAAGAGTTTTATTCCATCCAACCTATATTCTTTTTGACTATTCTATTAGATCCTATTTGAGGTAAAAAGACCAAAATACCCTTTTCATCTACTTATGTTCCATTTAGTCCACATTATTTTCTTATGTTTCAATAAGTCCTATGGGTGACATAATTACCAAAATACCCCTATCATGTTTCAATAAGTCTTATGGATGACATAATTACCAAAATACTCCTAATGTGAATGTTCATATCCTATGAGTGACATAGTTACCAAAATACCCCTAATGTGAATGTTTACATTGTCAATGTGAATGTTCACACTGTCAATGTAAATGTTCACACCGTCAATGTGAATGTTCCTATTTGAGGTAAGAAGACCAAAATACCCTTTTCATCTACTTATGTTCCATTTAGTCCACATTATTTTCTTATGTTTCAATAAGTCCTATGGGTGACATAATTACCAAAATACCCTTAATGTGAATATTCACATCCTATGGGTGACATAATTACCAAAATACCCCTAATGTGAATGTTCACACCGTCAATGTGAATGTTCTTATTTGAGGTAAGAAGACCAAAATACCCTTTTCATCTACTTATGTTCCATTTAGTCTACATTATTTTCTTATGTTTCAATAAGTCCTATGGGTGACATAATTACCAAAATACCCCTAATGTGAATGTTCACATCCGATGGATGACATAATTACCAAAATACCCCTAATGTGAATGTTCACATCCGATGGATGACATAATTACCAAAATACCCCTAATGTGAATGTTTACATTGTCAATGTGAATGTTCACACTGTCAATATAAATGTTTACACCGTCAATGTGAATGTTCCTATTTGAGGTAAGAAGACCAAAATACTCTTTTCATCTACTTATGTTCCATTTAGGCCTAGTTTGGGAAGACTAAATAAGTACACTTTTTGACTTTTTATGAAATATGGGTTGGGTTTGAAGTGATGTGTTAGAGAGGTGATGTGACTTAAATAAGATGATGTGACTTAAATAGGATAGTGACTTCTTGACTTTTTATCTTTTTTCAATCATGCCAAACTTAGCCTTAGTCCACATTATTTTCTTATGTTTCAATAAGTCCTATGGGTGACATAATTACCAAAATACCCCTAATGTGAATGTTCACATCCTATGGGTGACATAATTACCAAAATACCCCTAATGTGAATGTTCACATCGTCAATGTAAATGTTCACACCGTCAATGTGAATGTTTATATCATTAATGTGTAGGGGCTCGGCCCAACCCGGGCCGGGGCCAACCCATGTAAAGCCTTATGGGTGCTTGCCAAAATTCGGGTCGGGCCGGGCCACAGGCCAAAAAATTAGGCTTAGGCCCTAGTCTTAGCACGAAGGCATTCAGGCTTTGGGTGCCCCGGTGGGTCGAGCCAAGGGGCTTGGGCCTGGACTTGGACTTGGGTGAGCCTCGCTATTTTTTTTAATTTTTTCTCCCAAAATTTTATTATTTTTCACAAAAAAAAACACCGGGCCTCTGGCGGGTCGGGCCTCGGGCCGAGCCTTAAATGGGCCTTATGCGGGCCGAGCTTCAAAATGATGGCCCAAGTCCTAGCCCAAGTTCTCGGGTTGGGTTCGGGCCCGGGCCCAAACGAGCTTTGCCCCGGGCCGCGGGCTAATTTTACACTCCTATCAATGTGAATATTAACATGTCAATGTGAATATTCATATTGTCAGCAGGTCGAACCCACTCCGGGCCGTGGGCCAATTTTACACTCCTATCAATGTTAATGTTAACATGTCAATGTGAATATTCACATTGTAAATGGACCGGCCTGGGCCCGCGGGCGGGTTTCAGGCCGCCTACGGGCCACGGGTCAATTTTACACTCCTATTAACGTGAATGTTAATATGTTAATGTGAATATTCACATCGTCAACGTGCCGGACCGGGCCCGCCCTGGGCAGCCCAAGGGCCGCCGGCAGGTTTTGGGTCGCGGACCAATTTTACACTTCTATCAATGTGAATGTTAACATGTCAATGTGAATATTCATATTGTCAACGGACCGGGCCCGCTCTGGCCCAGGGGGAGCTTCGGACCGCCCACGGGCCATGAGCCAATTTTACATTCTTACCAAAGTGAATGTTAAAATATGAATATTTACAGCCCACCCCGACCCCCCGGGCAACGGGCGGGCTTCGGGCTGTGGGCCAATTTTACACTCCTATCAATGTAAATGTTAACATGTCAATATGAATATTTACACTGTAAACGGGTCAGGCCGGGCTCGCGAGCGGGTTTCGGGCCGCCCACGGGGAACATAGAGAGCAGGGCCGCGGGCCAATTTTACACTCCTATCAATGTGAATGTTAACATGTCAATGTGAATATTCACATTGTCAACGGACCGGGCCCGCCCTGGCCCAGGGGGAGCTTCGGACCGCCCACGGGCCATGGGCCAATTTTACATTCTTACCAATGTGAATGTTAAAATATGAATATTTATAGCCCGCCCCGACCCCCCGGGCAACAGGCGGGCTTCGGGCCTCGGGCCAATTTTACACTCCTATCAATATAAATGTTAACATGTCAATATGAATATTTACACTGTAAACGGGTCAGGCCGGGCTCGCGAGCGGGTTTCGGGCCGCCCACGGGCCGCGGGCCAATTTTACACTCCTATCAATGTGAATGTTAACATGTCAATGTAAATATTCACATTGTAAACGGGCCGGGCCCGAGGGTGGGTTTCGGGCTGCGCACGGACCGCGGGCCAATTTTACACTTCTATCAATGTGAATGTTAACATGTCAATGTGAATATTCACATTGTCAACGGACCGGCCCCGCCCCGGTTCGGGGACGAGCTTCGGACCACCTACGGGCCACGGGCCAATTTTACATTCTTACCAATGTGAATATTAAAATATGAATATTTACAGCCCGCCCCGCCTCGGGCAACGGGCGGGCTTCGGGCCACGGGCCAATTTTACATTCCTATCAATGTGAATGTTAACATGTCAATGTGAATATTCACATTATAAACGGGCCGGGCCAGACCCACGGGCAGATTTCAGGCTACCTAAGGGTCGCGGGTCAATTTTACACTCCTATCAACGTGAATGTTAATATGTTAATGTAAATATTCACATTGTCAACGGGCTGGGCCCGTCCCCGCCCACTGGCCACGGGCGGGTTTTCGGGCCGCCCACGGGCCGCGGGCCAATTTTACACTTTTGTCAATGTAAATGTTAACACGTCAATGTGAATATTCACATTGTCAACGGACCGGGCCCGCCCTGGCCCGGGGGCGATCTTCGAACCGCCCATGGGCCACAGGCCAATTTTACATTCTTACTAATGTGAATGTTAAAATATGAATATTCGCCCACGGGCCACGGGCGGGTTTTCGGGCCGCCCACGGGCCGCGGGCCAATTTTACACTTTTGTCAATGTAAATGTTAACACGTCAATGTGAATATTCACATTGTCAACGGACCGGGCCCGCCCTGGCCCGGGGGCGATCTTCGAACCGCCCACGGGCCACAGGCCAATTTTACATTCTTACTAATGTGAATGTTAAAATATAAATATTTACATCATAAAATTACTAACCGTTCAAAAAAATTTGTAAGGGTATCAAAATTAAATATAAGGGCATAAGAGTCTTAAAAAAAAAGTGTAAATCAAGAAAAAGGACTTTATGGAATAAAACTATACATACATGGAACTAAATGAGTTAAGAAATTTCTTTATGGACTTTTTGAGTTAAAACATTTCTAAATGAGATTTATCAATAAAAATCCCAAAATTTTAACATCATTAAAAATTGTTAATTAAGTTGATGATATTAAAAAATTTTAAAAGGCATAATGCAATTTCCAGAACTACATGAGATATTTCATAATTTAAGTAAACCTCAAAGAGTATGTTTGTAATTTACTCATTAATTTTTTTAAAACTTACCTGTTTTAAGAGTGTTGATTATATTTCTTTTTGCACTCAACAACCCATTAGCACTTGAACCTTCGTAATTTTAATTTATTTTTTCTAGACTAGGTAATTCTATGTTAAAAAAAAATTTAAAAAATTAAAAAAAGTTCATACATTTTGTATTACACTTACTTTCATACAGATTATATAATATTTAAAATTTCTTAACATTTGTCCTAAAAATACACATTATGTTTGAATCATGGATTTAGGAGAAAAATATATATATATATATATATATTTCATTCATATTTCGTTCACCTCCTACGTTATGAATATCAACTTTTAATTTACAATAAATTATATCAAACAAGCCCATTGTAATTATGTTCGCAATCCCTTATTTTTAAAAAAATGTAAACACCGTTTCCACAACCAAAACAAAAAAATAAAATAAAATAAAAAATAAAAGACGACAATTTGATACTTTTGAACTTTTCATTATTTTATTTTTGAAAACACAAGAACACAAAGATGAAGACAAAATATACCAAACAGGTAAGTGAAAAACTCCCTCCTATTTTACACAAGGAGTTGTTGGACCACAAATTTGAAAAAAAAAAAAAATGAAAATAAATAAAAGAAAGAAAAAAGAAAGCAATCAACTAAAACAACAGTTCTCTATAACCAGAACAATGGTAGGCAATTCGAACAACAATTGGAGAAAAGAAAGAAAAAAGAAAGCAATCAACTAAAACAACAGTTCTCTATAACCAGAACAATGGTAGGCAATTCGAACAACAATTGGAGACAGTTGGATGCAATTTTGCTTCTTTGCAAAGAGCAACCAACACAAGGCAATAATCCAAGCAACTGTACAGAAAACAGTAATGTCTAGCTTTACCCACAAAAAAATCAAACATAAAACACTAGTTCAGTGGGAAAAATAATAAAATAATAAATTGTCCGTGGATACTCGCAGGGCTATGGTGATGAAACTCATATCAGCAAGTGTGATGATCGCATGAGTGTTCAGAGCAGGCAGCAGACGGTTGGACTGAAGATTATATATTGGTAGCGCATGACGTGATCCTTCACCAATCCTTCCTACAACATGGGAGAAAATGAATAACCAGTTGAGAAGAAACTGGGCGGTACTAACAAGATACAGTCCATAAAATGGAACATTTTAAAAACAAAAAATTGGCAGTAGTTGAAGCATAACAAGTACTTTGAAAAACATTAAAAGGTAAGGGGGACTAAAGACACCCTTATTTTTTTTACCTGAGGGCCTGGGGGGTGAACTTTATAATTTTACAGTTCTCATATATGAGTCTCGTCAAAATAATGCACTTACCCTTAGAATAAATGCTGGGATTCTCGTTAAATCATAACTTTCAAGCAAGTGAAGCAATGACGTCTACATTATTATTCTTCATAAACCATTCAAGAGGATAGGGATATGATGATTCAATGTGAAGATGCCAAACCATGATCCTCGAGCAGTTTTGTGGTAAGCATTCCATTTGGCTTTCATCCTCCACAACTTGTTCAATAAATGTGCTCACCTGAAATGCAAATTAACAAGGTCAATCATAAGATCCAATTAAAAGGGGTAATTTTGTCCTTTCTTGTGGATGAGCTTATTTTAGCTCCATCCGCCACCATTCCCATTATGGAAGGTGCTATTGTCATTTCAGCATAAAATGGTTTGTTATACTAACATCAATATCAGGACAAATTGAGAGGAGGGGCAAACTAACTTGAAAACCTCCATTGACTATATCGGGCAGCCTAATAGGTTCAACAGTGGGACGGTGCCATCTTTTTGGATCCCAAAGTATAGTGCTGTTGAAGGCAAATCCTGACATTTCAGCATGGAATCTCAGGAATCTTCTAGATCTAGTCACTTCATTTGTGTGCCACCCAATAACTTGAGTCCCATTACAAATTGGACCCTCCAGAAGAGCTCTACTATTGCTCTCCATTAGCTTGGCCACCATCCATGTTCCAAAACGCCTGTAGGTTGAAACATGTCTGTCAAGAAAAAATCTCACATGGATGGAGAATGACAACCAACATATAAGCACCTCGGAAAGTGCTTTTCAGAAAAGCTAAATTGCAGCTTATTTTTTAAACTGTTCTCAAATTTACCAAACAGCTGTTTAAGAGCTTTTGTTTTAAATAAGCCGTTAACACCCCTATTTAAGCAAAATGGAGCCCCAACCAGTCTACGAGCAACTGCTAAGAACAGATAATGCATGAAGGAAAACCGTTCAAGTACCAAAATGCCCCATTAGCCATTGCAGTAAGGAAACACCAAATGACTGCTAAGGGCAGATAATTGGGTAAATAAATCACTCGCAAAGGATAATAATTGATCTCTTGATATGTGAATGGCCACCACATAATGTCAAAGGTACCAATTACAGAAGCAAGCTACTTTGAACTCCTTTATTTTCTGATTTCTTAAATATTTTCAACCATCATTAAAGCAAAGGAAGACATGATAACCATCAACCAATCAGAAGACATGTTCTAGATAGAATATTAAAACAACTCAAAGATTAAAATAAATAAATAAATAAATTCCTTTGTGATTTAGGACAGCTTTAGGAAACTTGACTTAATGCTGCCTACAATACGCATAAATTTATCTTAAAAAAGTCAAATCCAATTTGAAAACAAGGATAAATTTATCTATCCCACAGCAAGAAATCAGTGCAAGTGTTTTATATAGAAAAAAAAACTAAAAACTTCTTACAGTGACGTTACTACAAAATAGTTAGATCTCAAAAAAGTCAACTCCAATTTATAAACAAGGGAAAATTTGTCTATCCCACAATATGAAATCAATGCAAGTATTTTCCACATCATTGCATGGAATAAATCCAAGTCCGAAACACAGTCACACTGACAAGAGTCATGCCAAAGTGCATAGTAAAAAACATTTAAAACATTTTACTCCACAGTGTGAAAGAAATTCATCATGAGTCCTAGTAACACTCCAAGCCAGAGTATCCTCACTATCTTCTTTATATCAATTCAACCATGTAATTTTTTCAAACTACAGTCAACAAAATTAACAACCTTTTTAGAGTAAACTACCAATAAGTTTTAATAGTTGGACTTAATTTCCATTAAGTCCTATTGAAAATAAATCCTAATAAAATCATCACTAAAAATAATTTTTTATGACGATTTTTTGTCACGGTTTTTATAAATTGTCACTAAAACTTACAATTAGTAACATTTTTTTATGACAAATTTTTCAAACAGTCACTGAAAATTGAAAATTAGAATAGTGACATTTTTTTGTGACAATTTTCTTAAACTGTCGCTAAAACTTATAATTAGTGAAATTTTGTGTAACAATTTTCAAACTGTCGCTGAAAATTAACAATTAGTGACTTTTTTAATAGTGTTTGATGAACAACGTCATTAATTATCATAGGACCTATTGGACAAGAACCCCATCTATTAGGACCTACACGTAAGCTGTAACAACCCCGACCCATGATTAACGTTAATACATACTTAATTATGCCTAATAAGTAATTAAATCAAAATTTTGCATCATATGTTGCCTTATTTGTGTTTATATCTGTTTAACGTAAAAAAATCTGTTCATATTTTCGTTTCGGTTTGCGAATTGAAGGCCTTATCCCCATCCGATTCAGAAATTGATTTGATTTATGTGTTAATTAGAATTTTTAGAATTTTATGGTAGGTTTAATTAAAATTCAGTTCGGAACGAATTAATTAGAATAAATTATACTCATTTGATTAGTGGTAAACTTAATTAATTAAACTCTCTAACCAAACCTATATAAGGCTAGTTTGTGCACTAACTCTTTTGTTTTACACATTTTTGAGCCTATTCGCACAAACAAACGTGAGAGAGAGTAAGAAAAGGGAGAGGTTGAGATTAAAACTAGGAGAGAGGAGAATTGCTAGGAATAATTGGAGAATTGAGAGGTGAACTTCTACACTTGTACAATTGAGACTCTAGGTAGGGATTCTAGTCTTTGGCTTTGTAATGAAGTTGATTAATGCATGGAACCAAGTGAATGAGGTGAATTCATAAGGGAATTGAGCTAGAATTGAAGAAGGTTAAGTAATTCCATACATGCATGCATATATCATAGCATCTTGAGTTTGGAATCAAAAAAATTTCACATGCATGTGTAATTCATGAAGTTTGGAGGTTGATCTCAAGGAATTTCAAGTTGCGTGTACTCATCCTACATGTGTTTTGAGAATTCATCTTGTGTTGCATCAATTTATACCACTTGATCATGTTTTGGAAGTTTTGGAGTCAAACCATTACATACATGGCATGTTTGTATATTTGAAGTTGGGATTTTGGTTAATTGACATACTTTTGGGCCTTGATTTTATGAAATGATTTTCAATTCTTTAAGTTTTTCAAGTTTAGACTTTTACACTTCCGCTCGAGCGACCTGAAGTCCGCTCGAGCATGAAATGCATGCTCCCAAAAGTTTGCATGTTTTGCAGACCGCTAGAGCGGCAAGAGTTGTGCTCAAGCGAGGTCATGAGTCTCACGCTCGAGAGAGAGTCGAGCGGCCATCGAGCGGAGATTTCACTTAACTAATACTTTTTCAAAGTTTACAGACCGCTTGAGTGGAAGAAGTTACACTCGAGCGTCCCCTCACATGTTTGCATGTCCGCTCGAGCAAGGGAAGTTGAGCTCAAGAGAGACTCCTATTTTCAGCAATTTTTGTTAAATGTGTTCAAGTGCATTTTGGCATCCACATTGCATCCTAAGCACTCTCAGGCCATGATTAAGACTCAATAACAGGTTAAGATTTAGAAACGCATTAAGAATGAAATGAAAGAAGTTAATATTTCCAAGTGTGTAATTCAGTATGTGTTCGTTCTGTAACTATGTAGGTCAAGCGCCACTAGACGTCTGATTGCCCATCCTATCTGTTTGCCTTGGAGCCATCTGTTAATCGTGAGTAATAACTCTGTAAAGTTATGTTTGACTTTAATTATTTTCTGATAATATGAAATGATTAATTTTCTAAAATGCTATGCTTTGTATAAATGAATGATTGTCCATATTTTGAAAAGTATTTGTGGCAACAATTCCATGGCTCAAGGGTGTTATTGGTTCCCGGTCCAGAAGTTCCTTTGTGGAACTGACAAGTTTTCTGTACCCAGCTGGAGGTTCCTTTGTGGAACTGACAAGTTTTTCGTACTCGGTCTGGAGGTTCCTTAATGGAACTGACAAGTTATCCATACCCAAGCGGAGGTTCCTATAAGGAACTGACAAGTATGACCCTTGATACTTTGTGTGTGATCTGTTATCGCTAACGGATGTAAGATTAAGTATGTATTCTAATTTCTGTTATTGACTTGTAAAAGAATGTGAATATAAATATGTTCAGTAATGAATTCTAATTTTTGACTCTGTGATGGATATCATCCATTAAAACTTTTTACTCCGTTATTTTTCATTAGACTCCCGCTCACTATTTATTTTTATGTATGTAGGTGAACAGGCGCGTGACCAAGCCTAAGTTACTGCCTGGCAAGTTTTGGAGTTAGCTAGCCGTCATGCCTTCCGTGGAGGTTCCCTTTTGAGATCTGACCAAGGTTTGAGCCTTTGGGATTGTTGTACTTTCTGATGTTATGTTTAATCTGAACATGTTTTGAAAGTTCTGTATATGTGGCCCTGGCGACGTATGACTAATGCATTTTTGACGTCACATCTATATATGAATATAAGTTTGTTTCGAAAATTTCTGTCCCATGTATGTCTGCACAGCTCTATGGACTATGTATATTTAGTATATTTGCTTCCGTAACCCTTATTTATATGTTATTCTGTTAAGAGACTTTTGGTAATTCAAGGATTACTAGCTGGTTACAACACTAAACCTATAGGGGCAGGTTTGGGTCGTGACATAAGCCCTCCACCTTTTTAAGGTGTCAAAGAGTAATTTCACCTAGTTAAAATTTTTGGCACGTCATTCCTCCCCTTTAAACCGATTGTAAAAAATGGCAGTAAGAATCTGACACTAACAGGACCTTTCTATCTAAACCAAAAGCATCTAATTCATGGTTTCAATCTATTGAAACTTCTTCCAAGGAGACACCTCTCTTTCCCACCATCATACAAGAATTATAAACCTTCTATTATGCCTCTTAAAGTCCATGGTAAAATCACCATCCTTGGGATTAGTGAGCCTGCATTGCACCTCTTTCTTAAAGTCCTATGCCAGACACTAAACCCTAACTCCGTGGGAGAGGTAGGTAGTATTTCCTATACATACTACAGATACTTAAACTCTTCCGAAGGCACAAAAGAAGCTTTTTAACAATTTTTGAATTAATCAACCACTATCTAATTGTTTCTCCACCTTCACGGATATACAACCTATTCAACCATGCTAATGTTTCTCTACAAGCAACTGGACTACCCTCCAAAGTCTTCTCTAGCATCAACTCACTTGTTTATGACATCATTATTAACACCATAAAATCTAAGCTCATCATCAAAAATAATGTTGGCATCTACAGCCTTGAATCACTCTTTTCATCTCATCCCCTAGAATAGGAAATAATACCCAAACCTAAAGAAATGCTTTAAGAGGAAAAAAACAGGAAAAGAAAGAAAATAATAGATACAAAACAGCACCTACAAGGCAAAAACAAGGACCTCCATAAATTCCAACTTGAGGAATCCCAAAGACACCGTTATATTCTCAAATTCCAAAGCTCTAATTGACACTATATATGCCATCCAACTTAAAGAGAACATTTCCAATCCTGAATTTTGCCATAACTCTAAATGTTAACAAAAAGTTCACCAACCCTCAAGGCATTTAACAAGTACAAACCACTTAACCAGGCACCTGTCTCAACACTGATTTTTGAAGCCAGCAAATCAGACAAATCCTGTAAACACTTAAGGGATTAATGATCTCAAGCTACTAGAGTCTATTGCCTCCGCTTTCTTTCATCACTTGCCTAATAAATGCAGAACTAAATATTTACTGATCTTTTTCTTGTAGGTTAATAAATGAACCTCTTAAATTACATCTTAATCACTCTAGAACTTCTTCCTTTTTTGATATATAGAAACGCTATCTAGCCTAAAACTTTGACCCCATTCCTCTCCCATAATCACATAAATTGGAGTTTTAAATGGTTTTTGACAGATTTTGTTTAATTTATAAACATGATTTAATATATATATATACTAACTTTCATATTATTTTTAAGTTGCTATCAAGAGAATTTCACATTTATTCTTTCAATATTTGGTGATTTCATGTATCATAACGCATTTAAGACTCCAAAAATAATTCAATTTATGTTATTTATATTTTTACTAACAGTTGTAGTGTTGTGTTGTGTTGTGTTGCAAACTAACTTTTGAATACATATCCCTATATCTTACGATTAAGGATTTATGTAGGTCCAACACCTGGCACCTGCCCATTCTAAATGTAACTTTAGTTTTTGTTATTTGATTGAATGTCTAGGACATATTGTTGTTAGCATATTATTGAACAGATTATGATAGTCTCATGGAAGTTAGTGAATTTTCAGATAGAGAAGATGCATTATGTGTTCACACTATGGACAACAAACCTAGTATCATGTTACTTTCAGCAAAGCAAGTTTGACATTATTAATTCTTTTCCATCTAAATAATGAGAATATATGGTAACTTGTTCTGTTGGAAGATAAAACCATTTGCAACTGCCCATATATTTTTCTGCATATCTAATTATCAACTATACATATAGCCATATACCTAAAGAAAGCATTTAATTACATAAATCAAATTCCCACAAGTGGTTGTGTTGTATAACACACAAGGACACACATAATTGCAGATCTCAACAGATTAACCAAAAAATTTCAGAAAAATGAAGGATGCTATAAGCCTGTCTATATGTATGCATCTCAGCATTAGAACTCTCTAGCAAATTAAATTCAAAGTATTCTGGAGGCTCAAAAGAAAGAAAAATAAAGACGTCTATGTCAGAGAAACTAAAATTCTCTGGCGGCTACGTCACACTCACATCTTAATCTTAATGTGTCATGTGGGGTCGCTTCAGAACTTAATTCAAATTAGAGTACAGCATTGAATACAGAAAGTTAATAGATTGCAGAAAAATCTATGCAGGATATGGAGCAATGACTTGATAAAAGAAAATACCTGATCTGCCTCATCTGTTCAAAGAGATCAACAGAGTAGATGTTATCATCATCTGCAAAGTAAACAATTCCATCAAGACGGTGTGTTTCAATGTGAGACAGCGCTACATTTCTTTGGTGCACAGCCCTATCTTTTATGTCAGTTAGGTTCTTATTGCACACAAGATGCCGGTACATAACACCACCATTTCTCCTCAATATGTCAGCTGTTTCTGGAGACTGAGAACCCATTTCCACAACTATCCACAACAACGGAGGTGGGATTAATTTTAATGTGTGTGCCAAGCGATTCAGATAATAGGCTTGAAATGGTCGAGCAAACGATGGGGTCACAATGATCAAAAGCTTATGAAACGTTGTGTTCATGTCTTGAGTGAGTGATTGAGCGACAAGGGTATCATCAAAAGTCCCATTTTGGAGCTCCAGTTTCATCTCATGTGGCACTAATGTAGCATTATCATTTACAGCTGAACTGTCCACCAACGGTGTCACATTTCTTGGCACAACATCAAACAACTGAACTTTTTCATAAGGCACAACCACCTTGAGGGATAAAGCCTGGTGTTCGGACATAAGATTCACAGATAAATTTATTGAAGCAAACGGGGTAAGCCCAAAGAAAACCCCAACCACGAAACATATGAAAAAAAGGATAAGAGACCTCCTCCAAACTTGCCCCTTTGGTTTTAGCCTTTCTAGGGGCCGAGATGATCTTCTTGAGAAAAGACCAAGTAACAACCCAACAGCTGGTGGGTAGTTCTGAGTACATGAAGAAGACTTTGACAAGGGTGAAGCAACTGAACAGGCTTCCCCATTTACTAATGATCCAGGTCGAGGCACTGGAGACATTGCCCTCCTAATGGAAGCCATCGAAACAAACACAGCACAAACTGATCTTCTCTAAACTCCAATTTCTTTCAACAAATGTCAAACATCACATATACCGCAAACAGCTAGCGAACATGTTTCTAAGTGCAGATAATTTTTTCACATTTGCATTCTAATTAATAAAAATTACCCATCGATTTATGCACACGTCTCGCTGAAAACCACATCAGAAAAATGTAACCAATTCAATAGGGTATATTATCAGCTTCTCCTTATAGAAAACTCATAAAACCAGTATAAACAATGAAACACTATCAGTGCTAAAAGACTATCATTTAACTTTGGGACAAAACACCATCATTGTTGAGGCGTTCTCATCTTTCTCAGAGACATCCCCTTTTAACTTGGGTCAACCCAACATTGCAGACCATCAGTTCTCTTCAATATTCTTCTCACATATACATCCTCAAACAGAACCACAACCAGAAATTCATGCCAAAATGTAACTTTCTCTAGCAATCTCAGCAATGTGAAGAGAATCTATGAACATGTAATGAAGTTCTTGATCTGAACAAGTAAGGACTATTGAATCTCAACTGAAATCAATCAAAACCCCAATACTCAACAAATAAATCCCAGAAAAAATTCAGCTAATACCCACCAAAGAAAAAAGAGATTTCGAGCTCAAATAATGAAAAACTTGTACACATAACAAATGGGTTACCTCATTTTGGTAAAATTAGAAATGGGTCTTCGATCTCTTGAACCCATATTGGGAGAAAAGTCAAATGAAGATGAAAAAGACATGGAAGAGTGAGCTTGAAAGTGGAAATCCTAATCTCTCTGCTTGAACACCCAATCACTGTTGGCTAGTGTGTGTCTGGGATTGACTTGGGGGTTTTCATATTAGGCAGGCAGTGACTTTTTTTTTTTTTTTTTTTGGTAAAGATAGAAGGTTAATTTGTCATTAAAGTTAAATCACAATTTAAAAGACTGTCGCTATTCTATAACTTGGATTCCGATGATGCTATACATATTAATTGATGTATTAATATAATTATGATATGATCATTTTAAAATTATGATCTTATTTATTATATAAATTATAAAGATTTAAAACTGTTACATTATTTATAAAAACATTAATTAATATATTGATACATATATGTTGGCTACATATTTTGTAGGGAGCCAATCACGGTTTAACACGTGGCAGGTTGAAGATAATACGGGAAGACAATTCCAACCTTCGATCGTGATCATACACGTGGCAATTAATATTGGATTTTATAAGATCTGCGCAGTACTGGATCAGTAAAGAGATGCAAAATGATGTGGGTTCAACGATTACTCACATTTAAATTCAAAATCAGGAGGGAAGCCTAACTGCAGGTATTGGCATAGTGGAGCTAACTATAAGGCAACATGATCATCGATTATAGAGGAGCGGTTCGACAGTTAGAAGTACAGTTCGATGGTTATCCTTGAGAAGTATAAATAGCAGAGAAGGCCCCAAAAAAGCCCCAGACTAAGATCCAAAAAACCAGTTTTATCTACTTTATTTCCTTTCCAGTTTTACATTTCCTGTTCTTTGCATTTCTGTACTTTAAAATTCCTGCACTGCATTTCGTTCATAAGAGTAGTTTCAAGTAGATTGTTCCTGTAAACCTCTACGAGGCTGAATTGGATCATTGTAAGTCTTTCGTTTTACTTAATGAAATACTGCAATTGTTCTTCATTTAATCATTGTCAGTTTATTCTTTCTAAGCAAAGCCACCAGTAAAAGTCCTCTTCATTGAGGCTGAAAGAACTAAAACACAATTGTCTGATAATTGGTTGGCAATTAAATTTCTGTATGGACTGATTGATCCTTGTTGGCACGCTCAAAATTACTGTAATAACCCTTGAAAGCCAAAAAACGAACATATATTTTTGGCACACTCGGTGAGACTGATTGAAATGGCTAGACGTAGGAGACAAGAAGAAAATGAATGTTTGAAAGAAGGCATGGAAGGAGAGGTAGAAATGCCTAATCTAGAGGATAATGTGATAACACATCCTGTGGAAACACCCATTTTATCAGAACCTATGGTCAAACAGACCAGCACTTCGGAACAAGCATCACATGTTCATAATATTAGATGAGGCCAAGGAATTGGACCATCTACTGTTCCATCTACTCAGCCAATGAATCCATTGGGTGGCTTAATAGATGTCATGGGACAACAGTTAATGAACACAATGGAAAGGTGGGCAACATCCTTTTTGGATTGAATGAATACTTATCAACCAACTAATGCAAGACATATAGAGGAAAATTCAAATGCCCTTCAGCAAAGATTGGCTAGAGATAAACAACCTATGCAGAGTAACGGGCATACTAATGGTCAAACTAGTAACAAAAACCTTGAAAGACCACCACCTCAGTCTTGGTATGAGCCTCTTTCGAGGCCTATGGCAAATCAAAATGCTTCATTACTTAACAGTGAAACCATACAAATTGGTGGAACTGGCCTAACATAGGATAATGGTGTAAAGATGGTTCCAAATCCCATGTTCGAAGCCATACCTGGCATGAGGGGTTCATTAATCCTTTGTTCGAATTTATACCCGGGGGGTTGGAAGGTTTTCCTACAACTGGAAGAGACACAACACCTGTTCTAGCACCTTTCACAAGTCCTTTTGTAGGACAGGTTCAAAGGGGTCACTCATATCCCCAACAGCAACCAGCACCATAGGGACAACCAGTCCCAAACATACTACCCTATGGACCAAGAGGACCCCAGACACAAGGTTGTCTACCAAATCCTGTGTTTGTTCCTCCGGTAGTGGTTCAACAAGCACAAAATATGGTCCCTAGGGACCAAATTGTTGATATTATTAGAGAGATATGTGGACCAATGGCTCGGGGGGTTCAAACTCCTGTGTACAAGAAACCATATCCATAATGGGTAGATAGGGTACATGAATACCCAAGGGGGTTTAGAATACCCGACTTCGCTCTTTTTTATGGGAATGGAAACTAGTCAACGGTTGAACATATTGTTAGGTTCGCTGCTCAGTGTGGTGAATTTACGAACAATGACTATATAAAGTTAAGATTGTTCCCAAACTCTCTAACTGGGACAGCATTTGTATGGTATATTAACCTTACACCTAGCTCTATCCAAACTTGGCAACAAATGGAAGAGGCATTTCATGCCCAATTCTTTTAAATAGGGCCAGAGGTTTCCATGGCAGACTTGGCAAGATTGAGTCAAAGGCCTGATGAGAAGGCTACTCAGTTTATTGCCAGATTTAAAAGAGCACGAAATAAATGTAGAATCATCTTACCAGAGCTTGAATTTGTGAGATTGGCTCAAAATGGTCTGGAGTTTAGGCTTCGAAAGAAGTTTGACTCAACTGAGTTTAGAGACTTAATAGAATTAACCTATAAAGTATCTAGGTATGAAGCATTACTAGAAGAAGAGCAAGATCGAAGTAATGCATCATACAAGACGTATTATAGAGATCCTAACTATGAAATTGATGCAGCAGAGATTGTAGGGAGAAAGAACCTATGATTTGTGAGGCATCAATTCATAAAGACATAACAATTGATTAGCAGTTTAAAAAGAAAGACCTTCATAGGAAATACTCTTTTAACTTAACAAAGGCAGATGACATTTTTGATCGTTTGCTTGCTGCAAATTTCCTGAAGTTACCAAAAGAAGTCAAAATTCCGTCTCCAGAGGAACTTAAAGGAAAAGTGTATTGTAAATGGCATAATTTTTTGTCTCACTCAACTAAAAACAGCATTATTTTTCGAGACAGGATCCAAGAGCAGATTCGAAATGGGAGTTTAAAATTCCCAACTAAAGCATAAAAGGCCATGGGGATTGATTCTAATCCATTCCCAGAAATTGGAGAGGTGCCAACCAATGTTATTATGCCAAACTTCCAGAACTTGTCCTTGAAAGAATTGGAAGAAGTCAATGTGCAGATGCATGTTGCCAGCCAGACAACTGTCAAGAAAGACATTGGAAATCTACCAACTATTGGACAAGGTTTTTCAGACTAGAGGGAAGACTCTGATGAAAAAGCATTGGATGGCGATTCTTTAGAAGCAGCTGTCTTGCAAAGAATGTGTCCCAGATGCAGGCTGAGCTACAAGTGGTTGAAAGGGCTTCCAATTGATGGGAAACAATATTACAAGGATGTGCAGAGGCGTCCTAAACCAACCAGTGCTTATAACAAAAGACTATATCCAACTAGTATTAGGCAGCAACCATTAATGGTTGAGCTAACAGCTGCTAGAATGCATTCTAAAGGCAAGACGCCTTTATATGAGTCCAAACCACCTAATTATTATAGAATGGAGAGCAGTCATCCTAAAAGGAGACTGGAGAAGGGTTCAGTTTATGGGATCAAAGTTAGAGATTGGCCTCCTAGACCAGTCTCACATAGGACGGAAAGTGGCCACCTTCATCAAAGGTCTGAGTTAAGCTCAAAACAGGGAGTCAGGGCCAAGCAATGGCCTTCACAGCCAGCTTCGAAGATGGCTTCGAAGGAAGAAAAAAACAGTTCAACAGTTGGTGTGACAACCCTCACCACTGATTAGTGCTAATCTATGATTAAGAATGTTAACTAACTGATTGATTGAAATTCTGAACATATTGATTGCGTGTATTAGTTTAAATGCATGTCTATCTGTTTGACTGCTAAACTATCTGTTCATGTATTATGTTTAAACTGTGAATTGAAGGCCTTATCGGCGGCCAAATCTGAAATTGATTAATGTTTTATGCTAATTGGAATTTATGTGATTTTATGGTATATTTAATTAAAATGTGATTTGGTATGATTAAATTAGATTAAATAGTATTAAATTACACTAGTTATGTTCATTACCCTTTTGCTATATAGTGGGCCACTTCACCAAATGTTGTTTGAAGCTTAGTCTTGCATCATTCCTCATTTCCTCCAAAACCAAAACGTAAGAGAGCTAGAGTGTTGGAGAAATTGGGTTCAACTAGAAACCTTGCTTGAATTTAGAAGACTTGAAGAGGAGATTGCAAAATTAGACTCTCACACTTGAAATTGAAGACCTAAGGTAGGATATTCATCCTTTGATTTATGAATTTAAGTTGTGACTTGCATGGTCCATGCTAATTTTGAAGTCCAGAGCCAAGATATGGCTTAAATTGTTGAATTGATGCTTGTATCACGCATGCATGTTCATATTGTTGAGTTTTGAAGTTGTTTCATGAGGATTTCTTCATGCATGTTCATATTTTTGGTCTTGATCCATGAACTCACCATGTTTTGAAGTTAAACATTGCATTTGATCTTGTTTTGTAGCATTGGAGTTCCTAGGAACCCATGCATGTGTTGAATTTGCATTGTTCTTCATGTTCATGGAAATTTCTTTGAAATTTGTGTTCAATTGAACTACCCTTGGGCTTTGATTTCTCAAATTGATCTTTGAAACATGTCATATTATGAGTTTACAAGTGTTTTCCAGAAAATTAGCCCAAAATGATAGAATTTGATGCTTTGAAGTTGAGTTTTGTATTTGAGGTTCAAATATGGAAATTTCAGATTTTGGTCTTACACTCGAGCGGGGAACTCCACACTCGAGCCTACACACTGAGTTCATGCAGTCCGCTCGAGCGGGAAAAGTGACGCTCGAGCCGGAAATGCATGTATCTAGTACTTTGCCCATGTTTACAGTCTGCTCGAGCGAGGGAATGCACACTCAAGCGAGGACTTGTGTCTCACACTCGAGCGGGGATCGAGCGTCCGTCGAGCGTGAATTGCATGCATCTAGTACTTTTGCATGATTTTACAGTCCGCACGAGCGAGGGAAACCACGCTTGAGCGGAGCTCCTTTGTTCTGCATGCCGCTCGAGCGTAGAAAGCCACGCTCGAGTGT